AATAAATCAGGTTAGTCTACCAGTTACCAGTTTAAAATGTCAAGTTGACACTTTGATATCTAAGTTGTCACAAACGTGTTGTATGGTATCATTTTATAAAAATGTATTAACTGCATTTTTTATGAACCAAAACATTTTTTTTTGTACAAAAATGTTTTATGATTGTTTTAAATTTAGCTAAAAAACCATTAAGCATACGCATTACACATACAAACACAGCTGGTTTTTTTTTTTTCAAGTCAAAAAGTGTTATTCTCAAATCTGTGTTAATAAACAGCAGGTTCTCATTTTCAACCCACCCCATACAGTGTGTCAACATGCCCCGGCAGAACAGTTAGTGTGTTTCTCATGAACTTTTTCATAAACAAAGTAACAGTATAAATGTTCTAGAGTGTTTGTTTCTATATAGACATTGATTTTATAAAATAAACCCACCCTGGGAAATATTTACTGGAATATGAAGTAGGATAATAGGCCCCGGTCTTCCCTACACAGCAAAGTGAAATCAGCATGTTATATGCGTTCCTTTCACCTGTTATCATAATGTTTCCTTCAGTCAAATCTCAGACTCTTTCCTGCTCATTAAATATTGCTACAAAAATAGCAGTACATTTCATTTAAACCCCTTTTGATTAAGCAACATTTTCATCAATCACCCACACAGTGCTTTCTTAAAATGAAAGCACAAGTTATGCACAACGTGGCCATGAGATGTTGTATTAAAAATAGCTGATGGTAAGGCAGCGTATGGTCCGTGAAGCGCTGATTGTTTGGCATCAAGTTTTGAATAGCACTGAATCAGAGAGTCAGAAGTAGGTGTACTAAAGTGACTCATAGCTGTGTTTTTACTTGTTTATTGAAGCTTTTACTTTTTCTGGATATTAATACTATCAAGCTTTGAGGGTTCTGCGGCAATCATTTCCTTCACATTACACTTTCCTGACCATATGGATCTGCTTTTTATGTACATCCCTTTGTCTTATCAAGAGACTCTGATTCTGCATATCCAGACTCCAGTATCAGCCTTTTTATGCTTTATGCTTTTTATGCTTTATTAAGTGTTTAGACTGAAGACTGATAATGCATCATGGTCTTTTAGGCTATTCCCTGGACATTAAAAAGCAATACCCATGGGAGGTCCATTGAATTATCTTTAGACTTTGTATATACCCGACGGTGCTCTGGGTTAATGCACACACAGCCATTGAAATGGGAAAGGGCTGTGGGAATTTGTGGGAAGCTTCTGGGAATTTGAAATGAACGAAACAGATTGACCCAAAATACACATTTGGTCTGATTTTGTTTTTGCTTAAAACCATGTGAAAGAAAACATGCTTAATTAAACAGCATTGAGCAGAATATCTCAATAGAGATCATTCAACTCCATCTTGTGCATGTTTTCAGCTCATCAGTGCTTATTCCGTAATGCAAAGAGAGTGTGTGCTCATGGTTGCCAGGTTGGGAAGAGGAAGTAAACCACTGGGACAACAAATGTGTCGATTTGAGAAAAAAGCTTTGATTGTTGGATTTAAATCCGGCCATGAAAGCTAGAGGCTTGTTATCAATGCAAGATAATGCAAATTCAAATGTTTTCAGGCTAAATAACCAGATGATTATGCTTAATAAATCAGAAATTGTGATCACGATTAAAATACGATTCATCGTGTAGTTATCGTCTTTGGAGTAAACAGGCCTTAATAGTCTTTTAATTTAGCTTTCTGTGGAATCTTTTGTTTGAGTAAGTTGAGTGGGCAAGGTTTATGTGAGTTTATCGCTCTCCATCTGTTCTCCCATCATTAGTTATCAACATTCATTAGGTTAAAGGTTCTGTAAACACTTGTCCACACTTTTTTTGGCAGGATTTATAACCATAATTCAAACAAGGATGAATAAAATGAAGCAAGCAAACAGCAATTACGGGACCAAGCACACCAATGCTATATTTTAGTGTAAGGATCAGTAGCTAAATATGTGAAAATAGTTCAAAGGCTTTGGGTGAGTTAAATTAGACATTTAAAATTAACCATACTATTCTGCAAAATGAATGCATGAATAAACATGACTTAAGACAAGTTATTTCAAAATGCTGATCTGTTTGCACTTTGGAGAATAGGAGGTGCATATGGTTGAAAAGTCATAGCCTAAAATGTACAAGGAAAAGGGTTTGAGTGATAAAATACATAGTATAACAGTAGTATACTAGAACATAGTATAGATGTTTGGGGGTTTTTTTTGCTTCCTGATAAGAAACCCATTGTAGCATTAAAAGTTTATAAAAGTTCATGCAAAAGTGAAAGTTGCCGCTTTGCAAGTATATTTGATATCCATGATTTTTTTCACAACTAAAAGTATCCAATAAATCCACCTTTATGTAGAATAAAACAGCCTTTTTAGGGCACCCAGTATAAACAATATCATATTGTATACAGTATGTGAGTGTACATAATTATAAACATTTTTCAAGCTATTTTTTTTTAAAAGCTGCATATTATAGTGCATCCTTCAGAACAAGTAGTATTCAGGTTCCCCGTGTGCTGAATGAAGTGGCTCCATTTTTACCAGCTGATGGATTTCCTGCACCTCTTGTATCCGATGTATCACTTTCTGCAGCACAGATGTGTAGCGAATCAGCTCATGGGGAAAAGTAGAAAAGTCCATTTCTACTGTGCCTTGTGCCTCTTGCGATGGAACATGCAGTGATTTTCCCTGCTTCGCATTCCATTAGATCGTAAATGTATCTGGTGTCAGGGTTGCCATGGTAACCAGGGTCCTGGGCCCTGTTCACAGACAACTTGGCACCCAGTATGTTTATTGGGTGAGGGGTCTGTGAACGTTTGTTAATCTAATGAATAATTGATTTGTTAAATCAAATTAAAAATTGTGTTTTTGATTGGTCCAGACGCTACAGATGTGTTGGATTATCTGGGGAATGCACTGCTGTTCTCTAGACATCTGGGCAAACGGCAGTCATTTACACATTTAAATGAAATTATACTGGTATCAGGGTGGCTAATGGCGAGGGTGTGTTTGAAGACTGATTTTAGTTGCTTTTGACTCACAGGTAGTCTAGCCGTCACATCTGATTATAGAGATATGCACTCTTCTCCAAAACCGCTACGTAGAGAGCAATTAAAATCCAAAAGCTAGATGCATCTTTTTGACCAGAAAAAAGGCAGCATTCCATGTAATATTTATGGGAAATGCAATCCCACAATGCATTGGTGAGTTCCCATTCCATTTAGGATGTTGCCATATGGCAGAAGTGTTCTATGCAAGTATGTGAACACAAACTCATCTTACGCATTTCATAACCAAACACAACTATGAATTACGTATATGTAAGATAGGGGTGCTATGGTGGGAATTCGTGTAAATGTCTTCATTTTTGGTCAGTGTTCTCTTTCAGAGAAGTCAGCTACTGTCATGGTTGAGCAAACGTTTTATTTTTGCTGACAAGTTAGTTAAAGATAATATTTTATAGCAGTTTCCCTAAATCAAAGACTTACCTGAAATAAGAGTTTTGTTAATGCAAGACCAGCACAAGAGCTTGCATTCATGTATTTGTGTAAAGTATGCTTCTAGCCTTAGAAAGCAGCAAGGCTCCTCACTACACTGTAAAAAAAAACTGTTTAAAACAACCCAGTTTGGTTCATTTTGGCAACCCAGCAGTTGTTTTGACCCTGCTGGATTAGGTTAAATGTTTTTTGTTTTTTTTGTTTTTAATTACTATACTACTGGGTTAAATAAAATAAAAATAACTTAAGCACACACAGTATAAACACAGGCAATGGTAATAATCAAAAGGTGAAATTTATAGATAAGCAAGAACACATACACTCTAAAAAATGCTGAGATAAAAATAACTATTTCTGCTGTATTTGGCGACCCAGTGCTGATTAAATATTCGACAAAACACATGCTGGTTTTAATGTTTGACTCAACATGCTGGGTTGTTTTATTTAACTTAACTATTGTTTACTATTTTGCTGGCTTAAAATGAGTTGGAATTTAGAAATCAATCACACACAGAATTACTAGAGGCAACAGTACAAATCAAAAGGTAAACATTTATTAGTATGCAAAAACACCCATGAACAAAAATATAAGACAAATCGAATTTATTTGGATGAATACGGCATAGTTTGCAATATTACATTTAAACTTGTAAACATTTCAAAGTAAAAAGTAAAGTAAAAATATAACATTTAAAAGTAACATTTTAATACAAGTGTATTCAACATTCTCTGTTATCCCTTTTCACCAAAATAGTGCTGATTCTCGTGCCAGTGTGTTGCTGAAATCAACGTGCCATGAAATGCCATGACTGACTCCATAAACTGGCCATAAACAAACAGTACTGACTCTGAGATTAGAGAACATATTTTAACATCAAAATAAATTAAATTTAGTATTATAAGGAATAAAATCAGTTTATGTTATGCAAGGTAAAAGGCGTTTCCATCATGTGAAACGGCCACTGCTGATGCATTTAGCTGACTGACATCTCATCCCTGTATGTTGCGTTGCATAAAAAAATATAATTTACAGCACAGTAAAGACTTTATAGATGAAATAAAACGTATACACGCCGTTATTTAACTGAAGAAGTACACCAATTAGGCAGCGCTGGGAACCAATCTCTCCTGAAGAGGATGCAAAAAGCCTGCACTCTGACTGTAACTCAACAGCTGGGTTGTTTTGAGTTTTTTAGAGTGTAGAAATGGATAAAAATACAGACAAAAGAAAAATGTGAGAAAATTGCTTTAAAAATTCAAACATGCCAAAAATTTTGATTATTCCTTGAAAAATAAAGTTTTAATAATAATTGTAGTAGTAGTATTATATTAAGACCTACGTTCTACTGTACAATAGTAAAAGTTTCTGTGTGTTTTTGATATGATGGCAGTTTTTCTCAAATTAAATGGAAAAACGCTCATGAAGTGACCCTCAGAGCAGCTCTGAAAATGAAGTTTGTGTTCATGACAACAAAACAATGCAAGCGCCATGTGTGCTTCAGTATGTGTGTAGCAAACGAAACCGCACCATTCGCTCACAGAGACATGCGGAACATGCAGGACTCGTGCAGCTCTTTTTGCAGCTTAATATTCACAAACACTAGTCTATATAGTGATTTAATTTAAGTGTACTTTTGATTTATTCATCCAAAATGACATTCCGCGTTATACAGTAAATTTTATTTTTATGTCTGAATTCTGTAATTCCGTTCGTGTTTTCCGCAACACAGAAAGGGCCCTAATTATGGACAGTATTAACCCCAAACTGGGCCAAATCAATCAAGATTCCTTACCCAACAGTCTCAACTCAGCATTTAGGTTGAAAAAATAACCCAGTGTCTTTTTAAAGTGCAGGTTTTGGAAAAGATATGTTGTTGATTTAACTGTTGATAAAATGTTTCTGGATCTGGAATCCAAAAACAAAGGCAAAGAACAGGCTTCTTTAGTTTCTCAAGCTCCATCTTTTAATATCTAATCATCATAAAATGAATCCAGTTCCTGACTGCTGCCTCCAGTAATAATTATTCTGTTATAATTGACTTATTACATTCCTTTTTCTTGGTGGCTTCATTTCTCTTTCAAGGCTAAACTGACTGACCATTTTTATCGCTAAAGGGCTGATGATACTGTAATTGCATTGTATGCAATTATATTAAGCCATACTTAATTTCTATTCCACCAATATTCCTGTTAATGCTCATCACACTGATGGCTTATTAATGAAGCATTGCTTTCGACAGTATTTTGTCCCCAAGTGCATGCAATATCCAAGTCTGCATTATGACATTTGGTAAGGAAATATGATCTGAATTCTGGTCAAAATATAAGACATGCATTTTGGGATAAAGTCCTTTCCAATTTGTGGTCAGTACATGCTGAGGTTTTGCCCTCAGGGGCACAGTGTGGAATATAGGTCAGAGCAGAAAAAAAAAGCTACCTCTTGTTCAGGATCAGACCAGGACATGCTTCATCACGCCACCCTTGGTGCACTGAATAACTCTATAAAGCCTGTTCTTCACCTTTTGACTTTAGTAAGAATATAGTAGATAAGACAAGCCTAACTGAGAGCTGTTTCTGAACAGAGAGGAACTGAATGTTTTCTGCCCCGTCGAAAGAAGGCCAGTTTGTTCCCTTAACTAAAGATTTTCAGTGGGATCCTATTTTTTTTATCATTTATAAAAGAACTTTCATTTCGGAGTGTAATCTTTACATATAGTGTTGGAATCACTTGAGATCACTGTCGTTTGCGACCTTTACTAGCTGTGCTTTTTCTGAATGCTTAATTTTCTCCGCTCTGTTCAGCTTGAAGTGTAACTGCAGAACTGCACTTATCTGTCAGCGCCTGACCATCAGAAAGAGGGTCATTATCAATTTCAGCACAATCCATGACTCTCACCGACTATTTAATGGAATTACTTTCATGCTGATTATTGAAAAATCATATGCTATGCATGTATACATAACACCCCCTTGTGTACATACTACCATTCCCAAGTTTGGGGGTCTTTTAATGTTTTTGAAAGTCTCTTAAGCTCACCAAGGCTACATTTATTATTATTGATTTTAAATGCAGTAAGAACAGTAAAATTTTGAAATATTAACACATTTTCTATTTGAATATATTTTAGAATGTAATTTATTACTGTGATTTAAAATGTCTTTTTTGTCTGTGATGAAAATGTACTATTTATATATTAATATTTCAGTGGAAATGATTTAAAAGTTAGAGATAAGAAAAAATATATATACTTTTATTCAGCAAGGACGCATTAACTTGATCAAAAGTGACAGTAAAGACATTTATAATGTTACAAAAGATTCCTGTTTCAAATAAATGCTGGTCTTTTGAACTTTCTATTCAGCAAAGAATCCCTAAAAGAATTGTCTTTGTTTTCACAAAGATATTAATCACAAAACTGTTTTCAACATTGATAATTATAAGAACCATTATTAATAACCGATCATCAATAATAACTGATAATAATTGATCAGCAAATCAGCTTATAGAATGATTTCTGAAGGATCATGTGACACTGAAGACTGGAAAGCAAAATAAAGGTTATGGTTGAAATTAAGGTGGAAAGGTTTAAATTGTGAGGTGAAATGACAAAATAGTCATTTGGTGGGAGTATAACTGCCATACATGTTGTTTCTGTTATTTAACATGTTTTTGTTATATTTGTTTAATCTATTCATGAATATTGAGCGTTTGTTAACTAGGAACTAAAGTACAATTGCGTTGCACACGGACACTTTTTTATGGTGCAACAGAGAAAAAGGACATACATTTGGTGAAAGGTTATTCTCCGTGTGTGAATATAAGTGTTACTCGTGTTTGAGCAAAGAAGTAAAGAAGATGTTTTCGTTTTTTGTTTAATGATGCTGAAAATTCAGCTTTGCATCACAGAAATAAATTATAAACTTTACATTTTAAATTTTTAATGTTTTTACATTTTGAAATATATTAAAATAAAAACAGTCACTTTAAATTGTAATACTTATATATATATATATTAGGGCTGTCCGTTTAACGCGTTAACTTAATTAATTAGTTGTGAAAAAATAACGCGATTAAAATATTTTAACGCACTGTCCTCACCCCCAGACCTGTATGTCATCTTATATTTCATACAGTTGACTGTTGACAAATATGATGGAGGGCAACAACTCCATAAATACAGTTATGCCCTAAAATTCAAGATATGGTGGCAAAAATGCTCCTGTATGAGTTTCTCATATTTATGTCTCATATTTATATCACATGATAAGCGATATCACACAAGCAGCGAGAGCAATATATCTCACGAGTGCTGTTTATGTCCGAATACCACGAGTGCAAATGTGATTTTATACAACAGTTCAGTAAATAAGAAGCTAATATTGTGTTATATTTTAAACACAGTATTGTCTGTTTTTACTCAGTTTTGCCAACAAAAACCTATTACCTATAAAGCCAAAGCAGAACTGTTGTGCGTCTCCGAGCAGCACAGTGGTGTTTAGTTTCTGAATTAATCTGCGTTTTGAACGAATCGTGTGAACCAATGATTCAAGGCCCATTCATAAAGAGAGCCATTTATTTAATTCCTGAATGAATCAGTCGTTTGAACGAATCAAATTAATGAATAAATGACTCATGAAGACATTTACCGCCACCTGCTGGCAGTTTTAGTTTCTTATATAGAGTATTATTTCATTAAAAAAAAAATTAAAGGGATAGTTCACCCCCCCAAAAAAATAATGTAATCATTTACTCAAACCTGAAAGCCTTACTTTCTTTTGTGCAACATAAAAGAAGGTATTTTGAAGACTGTTGGTAACAAAGCTGTTTTGGTTACCTATGACTTCCATTGCATGAATAAAAAAAAAAAACCAGATGTTTCTCAAATTATCTTCTTTTCCATAGTTTATATTGGTCCGTTGTAGCCTAAACGTTTAGGCCCTATATGTAATACATTTTTATGTTGAATCAAATAAAATATTTATTTCTAAAGCTACTATTTGTAATGTCTACTTAATACTTTCTCATTTAACAGAAAAAAATCACTTTAAATAATCTTTTGGGGGTATTTTCACAGCCAACAAAGCTGTTTTGGTTACCAATGACTTCCATTGCATGAACCTAGAAAAAAAAAGGAGATGTTTCTCAAATTACCTTCTGTTCCATAGTTTGTTAGGCCGTTGTAGCCTAAATGTTTATGTGTTGAATCAAATAAAATATTTCTTTCTAAAGCTTCTATTTGTAATGCCTACTTAATACTTTCTCATTTAACAGAAAAAAATCACTTTAAATAATCTTTTGGGGGTATTTTCACAGCCAAATGTAATTTGCGATTAATTAGATTAATTAATCGACACATCATGTAATTAATTAGATAAAAAATGTTAATCATTAACCTTTTTAACCTGTGCAACCATGAAACTTTACTCTAAGCAGCAGAACTGGATCGGGATCATTTTCTCGTGTTTAATAAATATTCTATGTCCATTCTTGGTCTTCAGACAGTGCTTTCCACTTCTCCATGAGCTCAGCTTTGCCCTTTTATTTCTAGGAATCATGGAAGGGAAGGAACATTTAGATTTATTTGGAGTCATACACTCTTAAAAATAAAGGTGCTTCACGATGCCATAGAAGAACCTTTTTGTCTAAATGGTTCCATAAAGAACCTTTAACATCTGAA